TGTGGAGGGGGTTTTCCCATTCTCTAGAGGGAATATCCTAGATGATTGGGGATAGTAAACAATAAGGGTATATTCCAGGGTATGAGGACATTCAGCAGTTCAGAAGGGATATCCAAAGGGATCGGGGATCATACTCAACAAGACAATTAGGGGATATCACAGGAGATGATAGTACAGAATGGATATCCTGGAAAATGCAATGCCCAACAGTGCACTGGAGATCTCCTCGTGACAGAAGTCCAACAGTTCAAAGGGAAATTTATATTTCACTTAAGGATCCCTGTCTCAATGTAGTTTTTTCATAAATACAATAACCTCCCCTTAATTACATTTTGGATGTTTAATGTAGCACAGTTGGGCCAGGACGCTTCCGTTGATCAGGTTGCTCAGTCTGTTAAAGCGATAGTATATCAACCTGTAGTCGGAGGTTTGAATCCCGGTCTAGTGCCGCTTATTTTTTTTCAATCAGAACAATGTTTTGATTTTTGTTTGGTTTCTTCCATCTGTTTCCTGCAACTGCCAAGATATGGATTTCTTTTCAGAAATTGTTTAATAAAGTTATAGTCATGTCGACAAAATAGATTTCCTGTGTATAGTAACTGTTTTTGGCAGTGGTAGGAGGACCCTTAATATTTATCTTAGTCAATCGTTTTGCATTAGGAGGAGCATTTGTGAAAATATTTAAAGGAAAACTATAATTTATTGAAGTTTTCTGAATTAAACAAATATAAAACTCAAACTTAGCTCTACTTCTGATAAAATTAAGACATTCTTTGTTACAAATCCAAAGGAATAATTATTTGAAATCAAAATATAGATTTTTTCCCCCTTAGAACACAAAGTTATTTCCAATTTCCTGTCCAACTTCATAATAAATCGAACCTAAAAATATTTCTTTTTAAATTCTTCAAAACAAATAAAGAAAAGTTGTTTTGAACTGCTCTTTATGTTTGTCATATTTTTTTCTAATTTATCAGGAAGATGTAATTTCACATTATAGCCATGGGAAGGTAGCTAGGTAAAATTAGTTTTCACTTCAAATAGTAACAAAATATTTCAGTAAACTATTAACGACTAGGCTAAATATATACTTTTTAACAAAATATTCCAAATATTGAAGTTTGGACATTTCCTGCCTGTTAACCAGTATGAATATTATTTAATGTACGAAAAAACTTTTCAATGAACAGGAAAATGTAGGGATGAAAAGATGATCTGAAATATACTTTTTTGTTTTAGCCTCCTGGTTCACTCTCGTCTAAAACTCTATACAAAGGGCAATAACTCTCACAAAAAAGTGTGTTCAAATAGTAGAAAGATTATCTAAATTGTATTTTCTAAATTACGAAAAGGACAGATTTTTTCATAATCTAATGCATTTTCAAAATTTGAATTTTTGATAAATTTAAAATACATGTATGAACCATACAATTTTATCACAACAATTAAATTTGATAATATAATACTAATTATCATCACTACAAAATATCCCATTCCAATAAATCCAAATTCAACCTTTTTATCCTTCATTTTTTATAACCAATATAAACATAGAAATCTAACTGATGTTTTATTCTAACTTCTTGCAGAAATCATTCACAGCAACAGGATAGCATTTTTTTATATATAAATGGCCCATACCAAAATAGGGGCAATTTAATATTCACTGCTTTGGTCCCTTGTAATGCCTGTCTGTGAAACTTTAAATCCGCAGTTATAATCTAACCCATATTATACCAATGACCCAACAAATTTAATTCTGGTGTGTTTATTGGTTCTTGTACAAAATGTCTTGACTCTGAAAACATTTATTGTAACGGTCGCATTTGTGCATTCATTTTGCAGATAGTGCGTTGCCAAAGATATCGATGATGAACGTTTCTATTCGAGCGACAGATAAGTTTTGCTGTTGCAAATGGTTACAGAAATATATCTAGACCTACAATGGATGGTTCAGAATACATATCTTTACCTTGTCAAACTGCCGTTTCCAGACGATTCTGCTTTCACAGCACGTGCGTCCCGTTTCAAATCGCGTGACAGTGAAAATCGGTAGATCAACCCTGAATATTAATTATTTGACATGTTGAATGCAGCGTTTTCAATGTTACGAGAAAAACATGCATATTGACACACATTTTTTAGATGTTGGGAAATATGTCTTTTTGTATCGTGTTTACTTTTTTGATTTTTGTGACCTTGAATGAAGGTCAAGGTCAGCAATTTTTGCATAACCAACCAGCCAAATAATAGATAAATAAACAGGAAAAAAACCAAGAAGCAACATATTCCCTTTTTGATAAAAACATAAAATATGACAAAAATATACGGTTTTCCGTTTATTTTATTTTATTTTTTTTTTATGTTGAAAGATTATCACATTGTTAAGAATTATAGAAAAAAATCTTTGTAACTAGGCACAGAAACCATATTATTAGTATGTGGTAATTCACATGATGAAGATGTAGCATTGTATAATTCCGTCATTTGAAAATGAGCAACTTTTGCACTGACAAAGGTGGTTGACAAGGAAATTTGTCATTAAATAAATGTTCAAACTAATTTCTGATTTAAGCCGGCAGGGGCGGGTCCAGGTGAGGGCGAAATGGGCGTACGCCCCGCCCCCCCCCC